TCTTGTTCTTTGCAGCGGCACAAACCCTCTCGCTCTTGTGTTTGTCTACTGTTTTAGGTTTAACAAAATGTGAATTTTCCCAACCAACAATAACTCATACAGAAGAAAATCCACGGATTGTAACCAACTGGTTACAAATTTCGGAATTTACCATCTTCTCCAGTTGATATGTTAAGATGGGTTATTCAAAAACATTTGCTTTGTGCATGCATCCGTGCGTTCCTACTCTTTTTGTTTACACACAAATGTCATAGAATTGTAATTATTGTATTTCAGTTGAATATATTTTAAGATTTCTTACCTTACCTTACCAATCAGGCTAAGGCCTTGTTGTCCTCTGCTGTCCGAAGAAGTCGTCTCCACTCTACTCGATCCATGGCCACAGTTCGCCAGCCTCGTAGTCTGCGCAGGGTCCGCAGGTCACCTTCTACTTGGTCGACCCACCTTGCCCGCTGCGCGCCTCTTCTTCTTGTACCTGTTGGGTCGCTTTCTAGAACGATTTTCACTGGGTCGTTGTGCGGCATTCTTACGACTTGCCCAGCCCACCGCAGTCGCCCAATTTTTGCAATGTGGACGATGGATGGTTCTCCCAGCAGCTGGTGCAATTCGTGGTTCATTCGCCTCCTCCACGTTCCGTCATCGATCTGCACTCCACCGTAGATGGTACGCAACACCTTCCGTTCGAAAACACCAAGGGCGCGTTGGTCCTCCACGAGCATAGTCCAGGTCTCGTGGCCGTAGAGGACCACCGGTCTAATCAGCGTCTTGTAGACAGTCAACTTTGTGCGGCGGCGAATTTTATTCGACCGGAGTGTCCTCCGGAGTCCAAAGTAGGCACAATTCCCTGTCATAATGCGTCTGTGAATTTCTCTGCTGGTATCATTTTCGGCGGTCACCAGTAAGCCTAAATACACGAACTCGCACTGCGGTACGTGCGGACGTTGATAATGTCGGAGAAGAATTTCCCGTCGATTAGAACGTGATCGATTTGGTTTTCTGTGTGTTGGTCAGCTGACCTCCAGGTGGCTTTGTGGATATCCTTGCGGGGGAAAAAGGTACTTCAAACTACCATACCCCGAGAGGCGTTCATGTCGCCGATGACGATTTTGACTTCCCGTTGCGAACAGCCGTCGTACACCTGCTCCAGCTGCGCATAGAACACTTCTTTCTTGTCGTCGGGTCTCCCTTCGTGTGGGCAGTGCACGTTGATGATACTGTAGTTGAAGAAACGGCCCTTAATCCTCAACTTGCACATCCTCGCGTTGATCGGCTGCCGACCAATCACACGTTGGCGCATCTTACCCAGCACTACAAAGCCGGTTCCCAGCTCATTGGTGGTGCCACAGCTCTGGTAGAAAGTAGCCGCTCGATGCCCGCTTTTCCATACCTTTTGTCCCGTCCAGCAAAGTTCCTGCAGTGCTACGACTTCGAAGTTGCGTGGTTGAAGTTCATCATAGATTAACCTATCTTAACCCGGGAAGCCGAGTGATTTGCAGTTCCATGTTCCGAGTTTCCAATTTCTTTCTTCAGTATTTGCAGCTTTGTTTTTTTTTCAGGGTGGCTTGTTGGGCCTGCCCCAACCCGTCTCGCCGGGGGACCATCGTGTACAGCTCTGTTTATAGTCCCACGCTGGCACTAGGACGGTGATCAGCCGCTCCTAACATGGAGAACAGACGCCGTTTTGAGCCGCACCTCCATGATGAACATACGCTCAGGTTTGGTGAAGCATTTCCTCTATCACAGTACTATCATAGAGGTAACTCTAAGACCACTGGGTCCCGAAGAAAATCATTATTATTTTTGGCTCACTCAGTACCAGAACAACGGTCCCAAGCAGTCCCAAGCTATTTCACTCACCCCTGCATGTTCTGCATGAATCCACACACCCCTGATGTTATCTGTCAAACTTTCATAGCGAATCAAAACAAACATAGTGTAGTAATAGAATTTCAACTAGAATAGGGTACGTTAATCGTTTGCTTGGGACCAATAGGCTACTAAAGTGGTGAGCCAATTTAAAATCGTTAGTTTCGTATTGATTGTTGGTACTATGGTTACCGCGCCAGTTTTCGCGTCGCACCACTTCACTTTGCTATTGCCGGACTGGCAACATTGCCCAGGCTACGCCACCCAGCTGTGTCCATGTTTCAGCTGGTAGTCTTTTGTTATCATATGACTCGAGGAAGCGTGAAGTAGGAACTTGTGAGGACCAGGGCTAGGTATTCCGCTCCTTCCAGGTTGTCAACTTACCATTTTGTAGCCCAAAGATTTCTAAGGGTACTTTTTTCGATGCTGTTCAACCACCTTAAGCAAATATTGCGGCTGAACTGGATCTCAGGTGGCGTTCTTGTTGAAATCGGAAATTAGCTTCACCCTTCGTTCAGTCACGTCGTTGATAACCATCAAGGAAGCAACTCGTTGTTTTGTATTGAAATAACCTGCAACCTGTACCTACTCGTTGGTTAGTTTTTGCATGAAGTCGGTAGAAATTTCGAAAAGGAATCAGTACTCTCACAAATGACGTTTGATTTTGAATGAAGCATTTTTCATTATTCAGCGAATACCCTTTAATTTCTTAATATTTTTTAGTAATAATAATTAGAATTTAGTGACGCTTAATTTAGTCCTAAAACCCATTGAAATCAGTTGCTTCAGCCCTATAATTTTTTGTTTTGATGATGATATTGTACGCTATTCAACAACCGTGAAATAAGATTGAATTATATTAAGGAGTTAGGCCAGTGTAGAAGCCGAAAAAATCAAAAAGGCATAAACAATAAAAAAGGACTAAGATCCTGTTCCCCTAGTTTGAAGTAGCCAGGACTAGGGATCGATGGTAGATCTTACATCCCGTAACGTACCACGAAAAGGTGATCTACCCACGTTACGGGGCTAAAAGGCTGGTTAATTACAGAACCTTCGGATGAGATCCTTTTCATTATTTGTTTAAATTTTATTCTCTTAAAATTAATTGGGGTGCTCGTCGATTTAGAACGTGTTTATCCGAAAAGCATATCCTTCTCAAGAGTAGTTCTTGTCGCTGTCGGTGAGGTCGCCAGTGAGAGCGAAACCTAGTAGCAGCAAGTTGAACGGGAGCATGATCGTTATTGATCTGTGATATAAGGAGCTCGGTAGCCTAGTGGCGACCGATTTTGCTTACTTACCAAGAAATTGTGCGTTCAATCTCAAGCTCCTTCACATTATAGATTTTTACTGTAAATCGGATTGATTCTGAATATGAGATAACGCCTATTGGAATTCGGTTGTAGGAAAGAATACGACAAAGAAATTCTATTGAGTTTTATGAAAGAAGCGTTAATTGGAAATCTATAACAAATCCTTCTCAAGGGTTATTTTATTGTCGTCAGTGATGTCGCCGCCAGGATCGAAACCTAAAAAACAGCAAGTTGAACAAGAACTTGATTGTAATTGTTTTATGATATATGGAGCTCGGTGGCCTAATGGCGAACGATTTTGCTTACTGAGCAGAAAACTATGGGTTCAATCTCAAGCTTCTTTGCGCTATTGAATCGTTAGGTGGTAATTCCATACGAATTTCAGGGGAATACTTAGTAGATGGTTGGTTGGTTGGTTGTCTTTATTAAGGATATTTTCAGCCAGACGCTGGTTCATCTCCGGTACTTAGTAGATGGTTTAGGAGAACTCCAATTGATTTTTTTCTGGATAATTTTTCGTTGAACTGTTGAGTTATTAAATAATATGTAGAACAATGCAGAGTGAATTCAGAGAGTGTTCTGCAGAAGATTTTTAATAGTATTATGGAGGAACTTCACGTTTTCCATGAACAATTTCGAGATCCTGGACACAGAAAAAAGGATCAAGAGTCAAGGTTAATAAAATACCAGTTTAGCTTCCAATTACTTAGATTATTGTTGAGTTGGGAGGGGAGCGACCCCGGCGTAGTGGTTAACATCCATACCTCTCACGCCAAAGTCACGAGTTCAAATCTCACCCCCGGACAAGTCACGAATGACCCAAGAATGTATGAAAGTGACTATAATATAAAAAAAAAAGTTGAGTTGGGATAAAATGCTATACTAATATCAACATGAAGCGATAATTTATTAGCTCGAGAAAATTCTAAAGAAGATAGATTGATAGTTTCGTAAGAGTATGGCAGTGTGAAAATTGAACCGAAGTGGAAATTGAGCGAAGGACATTTATGCAACAATACTAATCAAATGCACACTCCTTTGCATCACACACCACTCACCCGTCAAGTGAGCTAGGCAAAGGAGTGCCCATTTGATTTGTATTTTAATGGCCCTTCGCTCAATTTTCACTTCTGTTTAATTTTCACACTGCCGTACTCTTACGGAACTATCAATCTATCCTTTTTATAACTTTCTCTAGCTAATAAATTATCATACTAAAAGCATCATGTTGATATTAGTTAGTAACAACGCGACCCGCTTCATTACTTAGCAGATTCCCACCATCACACCAGATCACAAACAATAAACACTTTCATCGATTAGCCGAGTCAGCTAATTGTATGCCAAGCCAGACGATAGTTAGATTGGATCACTTTTATTGGAATCACGACGATCACCGATAGCATGAGCTCCAAGAATATATATTTTTGGACTTCCTTAACCGGAAATCCTTAACTTATTAGTATAGCATTGTATCCCAACTCCACAATAAGCTAAGTAATTGAAAGCTAAACTGGTATTTTATGACGATAAAAAAAAAATATTGTTCGCCATGTTAAATCTATGATGCAAAGGCAAAATTGTGTACTTCGCATCTTCCTGATTTGATACACTGTATCATCTCCTTTGCAACATTGTAACCCAAACGAAACATGAATCGATGTTGCATTTGCTGACTTTTGTTAATTTCAATCGCTGAAAGGATATGCGTTAACATTTAATAAGAAGGACAAACTGTCACAAGCCGTTTTCATTCTGTTTTGCAATTCACATTTAACGACGTAATAAACGAGAAATTCATTGTCTTCTAATTTCAATTTCCAGAGATGACTCACGTCGGATTCCTCACGGCATCAAGGCAAACAGACGCACCATCCTTTGACGAGCAGCACAACAAAGACATCGCATGACACGAGCGTTCTCATCAAGCATAAAACGAAGGTTTAATTTCCAGTCCTATTGTTTTTCTGCCTTCGCGGCTAAGAGCGGCGTGCAGGAGGTAATGTGGAGAGGACTCGTTATCCGTTATCGTTTCTCGACGCGTAGGACAGGTAAATTCGTGAAATAACAAAAAACCGACAAAAGCAACAGGACAGCGTCAGAATATCCTGGTTTGATTTTTTTTTGTGAAACGCAAATTTGTCATGTCGAAAGTGACAAAACACTGACAACAACGCCCAGATAGACATCCGGGTACGACAGATCGGAGGACAGAGATAGAAGCAATGACATAAAAACCCGACAGCAACACAATTTATTATTTAGAGTCTCTTGTGAATATATACACACACACACACACACACACACACACACACACACACACACACACACACACACACACACACACACACACACACACACACACACACACACACACACACACACACACACACACACACACACACACACACACACACACACACACACACACACACACACACACACACACACACACACACACACACACACACACACACACACACACACACACACACACACACACACACACACACACACACACACACACACACACACACACACACACACACACACACACACACACACACACACACACACACACACACACACACACACACACACACACACACACACACACACACACACACACACACACACACACACACACACACACACACACTTATTTATCACCACGACGAACTAGTAGGACGAGAGAAATTTAAAAAAAAAAACAGAACTTGTACCCCTACTACTATTGAAACTATTTCTGAACATCTATATAGCCCGAGAGGAGAGTTTAGAAAAACATATTTAAATGGATGTTTAATCGGATCAAACGAAGTTAAAGGTGATTGAAATCTAGTGACTAATGAAATTAGCTGGTATTTATTGACTTCTCCGGTCTAGCGAGAGCTTGTGTATTATATATCAATAAACAGATCACTCACTGATTTCCTTTTTCTAGATGTACGGGAAGTATCTTCTATGACGGTATTTTCATATAGGATGGAAAAAGCTCATAAATAAAAAACAATATGGTAGAATAGTAATATTAAAATCAAAACGGTAGCAGTTTTTTTTTTCGTTCCCAACCAAAGCGTAAGCTCACTTAGTTGATCGTTTCGGTTAGTGTTATTTATGCAATCCGGTGTTTAACCTCCACCACCCGGCCGCTTCCCACTGGTTACGACGGCTAGTAGCGTAAAGTGTGCAGTCAGAGTAGAAAGCAATACCGGTAAAAGGGTCACGTAGACGGCATTTATTTAAATTGGACGCCATTTTTAAATCATACGCTGTTGCAATATTTATTCAGTGGGTTTTTGAGTGTTCTCTACCGGCGACAGCGAGCGTGGTAACTCCATTCGCTATGAATGTGCAGCAATTTTGCTTGTTTTCGGTTGGTCTACGTCCTATTGTTTTTACTGGATCCAGTCAAAATTGTACGGCACATGGCTAAGTTATAATCCACTTCCTGGTTGTCCGGCTGTTTGATCCCGTTCGGTGGCTGGTGCTGTGGCATAGAGTAAAGGTAAAAGAAATGATCCCCATCCCCGGTGCACAGTGGGAATGTTAAAAAAATGTGTCATGGAATTGAATTTTTTTGGAAAACTTGTATGTCTGGGAGCACTAATCTTCATTTATTGCTGATTCGGTTAACAATTAACAACCCTGTTACTGAAAAACTTAACTATAGCATTGATAAAGAGCTGACGTGAATGACTTTCATTTGGAAGAATTGTTTGCTTTCCCCATTACCTGGAACCAGGACAATTTTCTGTCGATTGATTTTAGTTCTTTCTTAAGGCTCGACCACCATGAGTCCCTGGATTGAAATCCAGCAAAAGCAAGAACATTTACCAGAAAGCTTACATATATTGTGCAGGAGTACTGAATAACAGTAACTGGATCGAAGTCCAAAGTAACACGTAAGAATTATCAGCAGCAGGTTGGCACCAGAGTCATTGCAATGATCATCAACCGTACTGTGAAGAAATCTAACTAATGGGTTATTCATTTTATTTGCAGCACTTCGAGGTTCAGATAGTTCCTAAGTAGATAAATCAAAAATACCTGATGTGTAATTAAATAACATAGTTGCTCGGAAAAGTATTGCTGGTCCCAACATGTAATTTTCATTATTTCAGGAAAAAAATCATCAGTATTTGAGTATTGCTGCTAGCTCATATAACGATGAAAGAGTGCAACTAAATAATGCGTTATTCTTACAAATCTATCAAATCAGTATGAAAAATATGAGGGCTACTCAGAAAAAAACATATTTTTTTATTTCGCATTGGAATAGATGCACTTCAACTAGGTATGCAGCCGGTGACTTAACCATTTTCGATTGGTAATTTTAATAAGGAAATTGAAAATCATGTTTCCAAAATCTCGATATATTACTTGAGCTTTGATGTCTGTGCTAGAGAAGTTAAACACACCCCCTCCTAACCAAATGTGACACGCTTGTAACCGTAAATTGAAGTACTTGAAATCGACGGCCGTGATAGGAAAACCACTATTCTGGCTGGTATTCTTCCATACAACTTGAATCTCACTTCGATGATGTTGGAACATGTTTCAATTCTATATTACAGAAGTTGTCGCATTTAACGATCAATCTGCGTGCGGAAACCGAAATTCCGTATTGAGGAAGATTTTTTTTACTGCAACCATGGAGGAAAGTTGAAATAAACCATTGTTTCCGAATTTCGTCACTACTTTCTCGTCACTGTTCGTAGTTAGTAAGACCTTACTTTCAAGGTGGTGGCGACCACGAGTAATCTCAAATTTATTAAAATTTGATGTTCTACAATTTTTATCAATTTAGAAGTTTCCATTGTGTACATTTCACAAAAGTTAGCAATTTTTATAATTGAAAGCTTAACATAAGTTTATAAGTTTTGCCCCATTCGAGCCTCGCCTTCGGAAGTAGCAAGCTTGTTTAGTACTGAAGTACTGAGCTTGTTTTCTCAGGTAATTGCGCAAATTGTATATATCCTGCCGAAGCAGGAAATGATCACTACACTGCCGTAAGAAGTCCTTTCGCAGTTTCAGCCGCTTCTCACCAGGATTACTCTGATTGCAATGCTCAAGTCACTGAACTTCGTTTCTCAGGTAATTGCACGAACAGTATATGTCCTGCCGAAGCGGAAAATGATCACTACACATCCGTACATAGTCCAGGATTCAGGTAGTTGAAATATTGCTGTATTACCAAAACGTTGCAGGCATGAATACAACTGTAGCTGAGTACAAATTGGCCTGCTCGGATGCTTGTTACGATATGTACGCCCTCACTTGGTTGAACAGCAACACACTTTCTAAGCAAATGTTTAGTTCGGATTTTACGGTCTATCGCACTGATCATTCTCAAGCTACTAGCCCCAAAGCTTCCGACGGTGGTGTCTTGCTAGCAGTTTGTTCTATTTTTACTCTCGGTTCCTTCATCCACTTAATAGCTCATGTGTCGAACAGGTGTTGGTTGTTTGTTACCCTTCAGTTTAAAGTGATCTTCATTTACGTGTTGTATTTACCCCCGGATCAACTGGGCAATTCTGAGTTGATCGATCAGCACATTGATTCACTTTTTGGGTTGTATCCAAGATGAATGTGACTGACGAAATCCTTGTTGTTGGTAATTTCAATCTTGCTTCAGTCAACTGGTCATCGAATGAAACAGGGTTCTTTCATCTTCACTCTAATGGCTCATACATTACACCTCTAGTAGCATCTCTCTTAGATTGCTAAAATACTGCTAATCTTCTGCAACGGAACGGGGTCTCTAATGAAAATCACAGACTACTTGATTTATGTTTCCTTAGCTGTGAACTCGCCTCTAATTGCTCGGTTCAAGAGGCACCCGAACCACTAGTTAAACGTTGTAGACACCATTTACCTCTGCAGCTATCATTACACTCATATCAGGCTTTCACTTTTCGTGTTACCGTATGACTACCGTAGAACTGACTTCGAGGGAATGGCACCCTTTTTCGAAATCATCACCTGGGACGATGAACTCCGAGATCGTGACGCGAATGCTGCCTCTTCTATTTTCTTGAATATTGTCGTGTATGCGATCGACCAGTTTGTACCCATGACAACTCCATCCATATCTAGTAGCCCTCCTTGGAACAACCACCGTCTCGAGCGACTGAAGACATCCAAACGAGCTGCCTTGAAGAAATTTTGTAAACTTCGAACGGATGCATCGAAGAGGAAGTACAGCCTCGTTAACAAACAGTATAAGCGGCTCAACAAGCGGCAAATCCCAAGAGCTTCTGGAATCATGTGAACGATCAACGGAAGGAATCGGACTTACCTTCTACCATGTACAATACGGATCGAGAAGAATCAGATACGGAGGGAATCGCTGACCTGTTCATGTCACAATTCCGCAGTGTCTTCGTCAAAGAAATTTACCTAACGAGCAAATCGTAGCCGCCGTGAGTGATGTTCCGTACTTTCTGCTGTTGGGTCGCATCCGCCTATCTCGACTAATGATGTTCGTAATGCAGGAAAAATTCTTTGAGCACTGGGCCTGACGGAATCCCTTCCGCGGTTATTAAGAACTGTATTGGAGTGCTGGCCGTACCTTTAGCATCCATCTTCAACCTCTCTTTGGATTCTGGGATTTTTCCGGCTGCTGGAAGGATTCTTTTGTCTTCCTTGTCCTCAAAAACAGGGAACTCAAAACTTTTTGAACTTTTGGTGCTGGATTATTTAAAACACACATGCTCTAGTTACATCGCGACTGCACAACACGGATTTATGCCGAAGAGGCCGACCGCTATAAATCTCGTTCAATACACATCATCAATCAAACGCGAGATGGAAAGAAGCCATCACGTGGATGCTATCTACACCGATCTTTCTGCTGCTTTTGATAAAATCAATCACGAGATTGCAGTGGCCAAACTAGAGCGACTTGGCTTTTACGGATCCCTTCTTGATTGGCTTCGCTCAAACCTCACCGGTCGACATATGTCAGTGAAGATTGGAGATCATTTTTCTCAACCGTTCGCTGTTTCTTCTGATGTACCTCAAGGCAGTCATCTGGGACCGTTCATATTTTTATTGCATCTGAATGACGTTCTCTTTTCGATCCATGGCCTGAAGCTGTCTTATGCTGACGATTTCAAACTATACTTAGTCCAGACCCATTCATGATGGTCCCAAAACCGTTTATTCACATTTTTTTTTGCCAATCTTTTTATGCTAGTGAAATTCGGGTGGTCCATGAAATTGGTGAATTGAAAATTCAAAATTTTGTATTATTTGAGATAGACCAAAAAGAAAAGTTGTAGAACAAATAATTCG